AGACAGGGTCTCCTGTGTAGTCTGGGCTGGCCTTGAACTCATTAAGTAGTTCAAGCTGGCCTTGACTTGAAACCATCCTCCTGCCTCAGCCTCCTAAATGCAGGTATTATCAGCATGCACCACCATGCCTGGCTCGTTTCAGTTTTTACCTTTTAAAATACATAATTTTTCACTTTTAAATTAAATGAAATTTTAAATTTAGTTTTAAACTTTAAATCATATAAGTATGAAAATATAAGAATTTGGATTGGAGAAGAAAACCATCATGAAACTTCTCTTGATCTTATGGATGTGTATTTTATATACATATATTTTCCATCATATAACATTTTAGCGTTCTTTTTATTTTTAATGATGTATCAAGTAATTTTATCTACACTTTTATATTAAATACAGATCTATTTTATTGGTTTTATAATTATCCTCTGAAGAAGTGAATGCATCAAGAAAGAAGATGGTAACAGTAGCATAAAAATGCAAGTCTCTGCCAACATATAGCAAAACCCTCAAAACCTGTGCTCATGGGAAGCAGTAGCGTGCTAGTCTGAGAGGCACTGCAGGTTTTATTTCTGTTCAGTGAAAGCCAATGTCCTTGTGAAAAGTTCAGCTAGCCTGGGACTGCAGTGGAAGGAGGACCCCAAAGCTACACACTTGGAACTCACAAGGTTCTCCTTCTTATGCCGTGCATCCAGCCCAGTTGTTAGCAGAGTGTAGACAGTGTGTCATCCCAGGCAACATCACACAGACCATTTGAAGCTTCCCTAAATTCTTGATACACATGGTATGCAATAAATCATTTTCTGCTGTTTTGTGCTCATTTCTTATGCAACACTAAGCATAATGTAATTGATATTATCATCCAAACGTTTTCAAGTATAGAGATGTCTAATAAAATGTCCTTTGAAATCTCATAGACATCCTACTTCACACAAAATAAACTAGAGAAATACCAATTTAAAAGTTTGTGATCAGCATTAGAAATAGGGTTAAATGAGGGCTATGAAGTATGTAATGACTGGACAAAAAATAGGATTCAGCTAAACAAGTGTGGTGCCAAGGGTACACAAAGTGATTTTTGGGTTATTTTCAGCAATCATTTTTTATTGCAATATTGGTTTTGTTAGATGTTTTCTGTGTATTGTACAGCAAAGCAAATGAATTATTTCACATTGTAATTCTGTTGTCTCCTATGTCTTTAAGAGAATGTAGAGGAAATTACATACTGATAAAAGATAAAAGGTTGAACATT